CCAGCGCAAATTCACCAATAGACACAACTCGTTGATTCCAAAGTTCCATACTTTTATGCTGGCTCAAAACGTGATACCCATTACATACAGAACTCAGCTTTGCATATCCCATAGGTGGGATGGCTCCTTGTTCCCTGAACTCAACCGCTTGTTGGTGAGCCTCTAGATGCGCTCCATGAGGAACGGAATCAGGGATTGGAGATGCCTTTCCCTTCATTGTCAGGTAGTCCTTCAGACAACCATGAAACCCTGATGTGCTGCTTGTAAAGTTCACTTGAGCAAACTCCCTTTCTATATGGGGGGTTCGAATCTTGTCCCTTTGCACCAGAATTTAGTCTGCAGGGACTCTGGGTGGGAGAAATGGTGACAGTATTAGAGCAGGGCATATCCAATATCCAAGTCAGCGCTCCCTGCTGTGGCTGGTTGCAGAGAATCTACTGACTGGAGCTCTGAAACTCCATATTGGGGAGAAGGGCTGCAGTTGGAAACATCCCCTGATTTTGCGGGACTTGGGCCTGGCCCCACTGCAAGTTTCCCGAATTGGGGTCGCCAGCTGTGTCAAAAGTGAAGCAACAATCTCTGGCCCAATGGTTTCCCTTACAGCATCGTGGGCAAGGTGCAGGTGGCATTCTCACAGTTGCACGTTTGGGAGGTGCCCTGCAGTCCTTACGGAAGTGGCCTGATTTCCCACAATTAATACATTTGCCCTGAATTTGTCTCTGTATGGCATAGGCCTTGACAGCATTAATGTGTGCCTGAGGTTTGATAGAGCCAAGATTCCAACATGCCTTCAAGTACCCCATTATGTCCTCCTTCTCCTTAATGGGGCGCAGAATGGCCTGACAGTCCCTGTTAGCATTTTCGAAGGCCAATTGTTTGAACAAAAGCTCCTGAGTTTCCTTACCCTTCACCTGCCTTTCAATGGCTTCCATCAACCTCCCTATGAAGTCTGCATAAGGTTCTGAGGCACCCTGAACAATCTTTGTGTAGCTTCCCTTAAATTCAGCATCTGCATCAATCCTCTCCCAGGCCCACAGGGCGGCGTCACGGACATGAGCAAAAACAGCACGAGGCAAGGTGACTTGCTTTTTAGGGTCGTGCCATTTTCCTTCACCTATTAACATCTCATAAGTCAATTTAATCCCTGAAAATTTCCGTCCAGCATGGCCAAGGCTTTGAAGTTTTGCCTTGGCCTCATCACTGAACCACATCTTCCACTGCATGTACTGAGAAGGGCTTAAGCACGTCTTAGCAACCACATGAAAATCTTGAGGTACCCAATGAGTCTTTTTACTCCCTACAGTAAGGAGATGTAGGTCCATACAAGGCACAGGCCTTTTTGAAATTACTGAGTGAATCCATTCTTAACCCTTCATAAGACAGAGATTGATTCTCCTCCAGCTGGTTGGGAAAAAAGAGACGGAGCTCATGGGGTCTGGGTGGGATTGACCACTTATGGTAGAGAGGTCTCAGCTGTAAGCTTCTGTCGGGAGCTTGTCCCGAGCCGCCTGGAGGCCGCTTGGCTGAGGAGCGGCGGCTCCTGTGAGAAGCCTTCTGTACCAAACCACTTTCAGACTCAGAATCTGAGGAAGTGGTAGCTGGCTCATCATACCCATCACTTTCCTCTGACACACTGGAAGTGGAGTCATACAAAGGAGGCGGGGGTCTCTCTGGCTTGACATCAGTAGGGAATGTTAATTCATCAGCAGAGAGATTTTTGCTCTGAGAACGTGTTTCCACTGCCAACTCCTTGAGCTGCTTTCAGGGCTTGGGTACAGGAGTAGTCAAGCATTGAGTATCAGGCTTCTTTCTAAGGTTGGGTATGGGAGGAACCGAGGATAAGGCTCTCTCAGTAGTAGGAACTTTCTTCATTTCATCCTTAATCTTAAAATCCTCGTTGTTTAACTCCTGAGGAAAGCTTCCCATAGTAAATCTAACAACCTTCTCCTCGGAGGTACCTTCCAAAGCCTGAAGAATGGAGTTAACAATTTCCCAAGTTACCCAGAATTGTTTAGGGATCTGAGCCCCTTCTTTAAATTCCCTGAAGACATTTCCCTTAATCTTTTCCCAAACCTCAGGCTCCAAAGTACCCTTATCTGGAAACCAGGGATGGAATTTGTAGACAGTTTTTAGGCAGGACCGGAGTTGGTCCCGAGAAACACGATGTCCAGTTCTCTTTGTAAAATGCTTAATCAATTCAATAAAAAAATGGTCACGTTCAGTTTGGCGTGAAAGGTTTTTAAGGGACTTCACACGGCTCTGTTTTTGTCCCATCTTAGTGGGGAATACGGCTAGTATTTTAATTCACCGCACCACAAACTCTTAGTTTTCCCACTAAACTTTTCTAGTGTGGGAGTCTACCGAACACTGTTCTTACCTTTAGTTGAGGACCGGTTGGAGGTTCATGTGCGCACAGAGATGCCAGATGTGTAAACTCAAAAAAGACAGCAGCAGAGGCAGCGGCTCTATTCTCCTACCAGTTCCCCCACCCCGGGGAGGTCAGTGGCGATGGGCAGGCGAAGGAAGGAACGAGGGCCAGGTTGCAGCTTATTCCAATCCCATCTCCATTCTCCTCTGATTCTCCTCCTGCCTCTTCCTCCCCCATGCTACTTCATTCTCCTCCTCCATCCCCCTTCATTCTCCTTCTCGCTCTGAAATCTGGATTCCCTTTCTCCTTCTCCTTCTGGAGTCTGGCTCCTGATCCCAATTCTCCTTCTCCTTCTGGAGTCTAGATTCTGATCCTGATTCCCTTTCTTCTCTTGCTCTGGAGTCTCAATTCTGATCCCCCAGCCCACTCTTACAGTACAGTTAAATCCCAAAGCATGAGGGGTTTGTGTAACAATTACACATAGGTGTGGTCACAATCAATAGGGGTAAAGTTCTTTCCTTTGGGGAAAGCTGCTTTTAGGACAGATAACTCTCTCAGCAGGACGACCCACCCAAGAACGGAATCCCCTGGGTGTGTCTCTCCTCTCCTTGTCTAACAAACATCTAAGCATACATAATATAAATCATTTTGTATGGAAACAGTAAGAAAGGGCTGGAGCGATAGCACAGTGGTAGGGCGTTTGCCTTACACGCGGCCAACATGGTCGACCTGAGTTCGATTCCTCTGCCCCTCTCGGAGAGCCTGGCAAGCTACCGAGAGTATCTCGCCCGCACAAGCTACCCGTGATGTATTCGATATGCCAAACACAGTAACAAGTCTCATGATGTATTCGATATGCCTAAGACAGTAACAACAAGTCTCAAGTCTCACAGTTACTGGGCCCGCTCGAGCAAATCGATGAACAACGGGAGGACCGTGACCATGACCATGACAGTAAGAAATACCTTAAACTTATAGTTTTAAGTTTAGATAACAATATTATCCTACAAGGGTAACAAGAAAGGAAATATGTAGAGACATTTTATTTTATTTTATTTTTATATATATTTTTTGCTTTTTGGGTCACACCCGGCTATGCTCAGGGGTTACTCCTGGCTCTGCACTCAGGAATTACTCCTGGCAATGCTCAGGGAACCATATGGGATGCTGGGATTCAACCCGGGTTGGCCGCGTGCAAGGCAAATGCCCACTGTGCTATTGCTCCAGCCCCAAGACCTATTATTTTAAATCTTTTTTTCCCCATTTCCTATTTTAAAATCAACATTGGAAACTATGTCAGGAAGTTGAGCGTAGGAAATAGGTCAACCTTCACGGCACAGGATGTAGAATGGTTCTTTGACTAAAGCCGGTTAAATTGATCTTGTTTGCTACCTCACTAAATTTGTGAACAGCAAAACACCGAAATTCAGAGATTGGCATGAACAAAAAACAGTGAAAAGCAACTTTACTATTGCACCATCAAGGAGCAATTTCATGTCTTTTACCAGAGACACACCCCTGGGAATCTTCCCCAGTTAACTGTGACCTCCAGAAGGTTGTTGTCCGGTCTGGCTCAGACTTACAAGCCCTTAACCTTTGCTCTTCATTTTTATGCTAATGAGAGCCAAGATTGGAGCTGTGAGCTATGGGGGCAGATGGGGAAAGGAAGGGCTGTCCCTGGTTAGCCTTGTCTTCTCTCTGTGTTGTTCGTTTGAGAGTCAAGCCCCCGTGGTGCTTGGAGTTGCTCCCCAGAATGATCTGGGGAACTGTGCTGTGCTGTGCTGGAGAGAGAACCCAGGGTCCCCCCCCCCCCCCATGCAAAGTGATGCAACACTGCAGGCAAGCACCTTACCCACTGTATTATTTCTCCCGCCCAAGATCCATGTACGGCATAGATCTCCTAGTTGCTGCAGCCCTGGAGTCCAGTCCTGGTGTAACTGGGCCTCTACTCAAGATGTCAGGATTTCAGAATAGTTTTAGACTCCCAACAAAATTGACCAGAAAGTACATAGCCCCATCTAGAGATAGTATAGCAGGAGTATGCTTTCCAGTACTTGTCCCCAATACCTGCATGCACTTAGCCGTCTTCCCAGTGTTATTCCCCTCTTTGTTAGTTTGTCTGTTGTTTGGGCTGTACCGGGCAGTGCTCAGGGCTTACTCCTGACTCTGCACTCAGGGATCCCTCCTGAAGCTTGAGAAACCAAATGGGGTCCTGCCTATAGAACCCAGGTCAGACACGTGCAAAGCCAGCACCCAAACCCTCTGCACTATCTCTCTAGCCCCAGTATGCTTTCGTTTCTTATCCAAAGTTATTATTTTGAATAGTACCACTGTTGATATTTATATTGTACTTCAGCCTCCCCAAGTGTTAATAATTTGTTTCTTACTGAAATCTGTTCTCGGTTCATTGCCTGGGTGTATGTGTTGTCTTAATTGTTTCTATTTTGCAAGTAAATTTTTAATTTGTCAGTCTGCTTCCTCTTTTTTATTTGCTTCAACTTCTAGGAAGTTGTTTCATCACACATCTGATATCAGTTTTAATTTATACCAGTTTTCCTAACACTCGGTATTTAACTCCCGCTTTTGAGTTTATGTTGCTATTCGAGGTACCTTATAGGAACTTATTTTCCAGGGATCAGAGAGTTAGAGCTCTGTGGGCTGAGTACGTGCCTTGTTGAATCCCGGTTGTCCCAGCACTGCTAGGAGTCGCCTCAAGCTTGGCCAGGTGAGTCCCCAAACCAACTAACCAAACAGAATCACTTATTTTCCGAGTTGTTACTCAGTCACTGCAATTACTAACCAATTCAACTTCTCCTCCCTTGATTTTGAATGGTAGCATCAAAGTTTGTGGGCAAAATAGATTTGGGCTCATTGCTGGCTCTGCGTGCTTATCCATCTAAGCCTAAGAGTGTACCTTCTTCTGAATCACAGTTGAGTATCTTCCTCTGCTTATACTCCTGGAGCTGAGGCATGTAGGTTGTACTAACAACTATGATGCCAGGGGTCGCCTGTGTCTTCCCACCATGCTCTGTCATGAGCAGCTCCCGGGGGTACTAGGAATAGACGGTGTCTGTTCTGGCCTGCTTTTGGCTTTTTTTCTTTTCTGTATTTTGTTTTGTTCTTAATAAAAGAAGAGAAGTTATACTTTTATTACCACCTACTAATGGACTGTAACATTTTAAGGAATATGGTGGGCTAGGACTGGAGCGATAGCACACCAGGTAGGGTGTTTGCCTTGCATGCGGCCGACCCGAGCGACCCGAGTTCAATTCCTCTGCCCCTCTTGGAGAGCCCAGCAAGCTACCAAGAGTATCTCGCCCACATAGCAAAGCCTGGCAAGCTACCCATGACGTATTCCATATGCCAAACATAGTAACAACAAGTCTCACAATGGAGACGTTACTGAGCCCGCTCGAGCAAATCGATGAACAATGGGAGGACAGTGACAGTGACAGTTTTGTTCTTGAACACCACTAGATGTTCAGGGCCTACTCCTAACCCTGTGCTCAAGGATCACTCCTGGTGGTGCTCAGGGAACCATATGAGATGCCGGGGATTGAACCTGGGTTGACCAGTTGCAAGGCAAGCGCCCTCCCCACTGTACTTTGGCTCCAGCCCGTGGCTCATTCTTTCTTGGTGCTCTGGTCAGTGCTTGTGCCTGGGTCTCCTCCCATGCATGGGGGTGGACTTTGCATGCTGCCTCCAGTGCCATGTTTCACTTCAGCTTTGTGGTGCTCGTGTTTCTTCCACCCCCTCCTAGTGCTCCTCCTATTTCCAGACTGCTACGAAGGGGCAGTGTCTTGACTTGAGGGACCAGGTGCCCTGAGATCTGCTACCCCTTCCTTGTGCCCCTTCTCTCTGCTCCGGGCATCTCCTCAGTGTGTTGACCTTGTGATCTAGCATTTCACTCCTGCTCCTGGTCACTGCAGAGCAGCGGCGTGGGGGCTGCTGCTACGACCCCTGGGCCCACCGTGTCTGCAGAGATGTCGTCTCACTGTGCATGGCATGGCGCAGGGCCTGACCATTGCTCGCGTTTTTCTGAAAGTGGGTGATTGATGGTAACCTCCAGGGGGGGTGCTGAGATGATCCAGGCAGGCAGGAAGCGCTGAGTCTTTCTGAAAAGGGGCCGAAAATAAGTTTGGGCCATTCTTCTCTTGCCCTGTCTGTGTTTCTCTTGGATTTCCTTCTCCAGAAAGGGGCTCTTCTGATTCTCACTGAAGGTAGGACCTAAAGAAAAGTCAGGGGGAACTTGCCCCACAGACCTTGGCAGGCAGCTTCTTGAGACTCATTTCGGAGAAGTTGATCTGGGGGATCAAAAATGTGAAACCCATGGGAAGCCGTCAGCACTCGGACAATCAGGGCTAGCACAACAGTAGGGCATTTGCCTTGCGCGCAGCCAGCCTGGCCAAGCCGGGTTTGATTCCTCCGCCCCTTTCGGAGAGCCGGGCAAGCTACCGAGAGTAACTCGCCCATATGGCAAAACCTGGCAAGCTCCCCGTGACGTATTGAACATGCCAAACACAGTAACAACAAGTCTCACGAAGGAGACGTTACTGGGCCCGCTCGAGCAAATCGATGAACAACGGGAGGACTGTGTGAACACGCCGCGGGGAGCTTGCCAGGCTCTGCCGTGCAGACAGGATATTCTCGGTAGCTTGCCAGGCTCTCCGAGAGGGACGGAGGAATTGAACCCGGGTTGGCCGCGTGCAAGGCAAACGCCCTCCCCGCTGTGCTATCGCTTTACCCATAATAATAATACTGAATAAAATCAGAAACTTTGACCAGGGGAGGTCACACCTGCGGTGCTCAGGGCTTACTCTATCTTCTGCACTCAGATCACTTCTGATAGGTTTGGGGGGGCCATATGGGGTTCTTGGGATTGAACTCAGGTCAGCTGCATGCAAGGCAAGCTCCCTGCCTGTCCTACTATCTCTGTGGCCCCAAATTAGAACTTCTACACAAACAAGAAGTAGCAGCACCTAGGTTATACCGCTATGTTCTTTTTTTTTTTTTCTTTTTGGGTCACATTCAGCGATGCTCAGGGGTTACTCCTAGCTCTGCACTCAGGAATCACTCCTGGCACTGCTTGGGGAACCATGTGGGATGCTGGGGATCGAACCCGGGTCCTCCGCATGCAAAGCAAATGCCCTCCCCACTATACTATCGCTCCTGCTCCATACCGCTATGTTCTGATTGGGCCAGACAAACTCTCTAGGTCCTCAGCTGATTTCCCCCTCTAGATGGAGTCTATGTTATTCTTTTACTTGGAGGGGTTTCTTCTTAGGGGTGGGCCACACTCTGCAGTGCTCAGGAGCGACCTTGGTGATACTCAGGACTTACCCATCACTCTGTGCTCAGGGATAGTGCCCCTCTATTCCTTGCTGGCCCACCTAGGTCGAGTGTTTAACTACATTACTGCACATTTTCACCGTATCTGATAGCCGGGTTCTTGGAAACCCAGCCTCGTCCTATCAGCCCCGTTGGAGAATCTCTCCGGAATGAAGGTGATACGGTTCTGACCAGGGAAAGATAAGGGTCCAAATATTGGACCCACATCCTGTCACCAAGCGGTTGCCCAAGCAGGACTCCAGGCCAGGAGCCTCATCACCGTCACTATCACTTGCTAGAAAAATTCAGATTCTCAGGCCCCACTTCAGACTCACTAAATCAACATGTCTGGGCCTGAGGCCAGGGATGGAGTGTTCCAGCTCTCCAGAGGATTCTGAGGTCTCACCATTCACCTGGTCTGGCCTGACGCCCCAGGTTGTCCCTTGGGGGGCGAGGGCCGGAGGCTATTTTGGGTTTCTGTTTAGTTCTGTGAAGGTGACCTGGAAATCGTCCCAGCTCCTCAGCACACTTAGATGACTGTGCCAGAGCCTGGCCTGCTTTCCAGGTGGTTCTCGCCACTGACAGGGTCGGAGTTCTCTCCCACCATGATTATAGTTCCCATCTCAGGAAGAGGAAATGAAATAACGTCTGCTCCAGTGGCTTTGAAAACAGTATTGTGTCCAGTGCATCAGGGCGTCAGTAGGAAGTGGTGCCCCCGTAGAACCGAGATCCGTGGGCTCAGCCCTCTCCCCAACGCAGAGGGCTGCTGGATCTCGAGTGCAGAGGCCGCGTGCTTGGCACATCCAGGCACAGCTGCAGACAGACCGTCTCGCCAAAGGCAGAGCTTTGGACTATCCACTAAGCCCTGTCATGCTGGTGAACACCAAACAGCTCTCATGGAACCCAAGCCTGGAAAATCAAATGTTTGGGGATTGTGTTTCAGCACACACACACACACACACACACACACACACACACACACACACACAAAGATAAATGAAGTTCTGAAGATGAAAAGAAGGAAAGGGAGAAGAAAGCACCGTTTGTTTACTGCTTGGAAATCTCTCAACTGCCCGGGTACTTGGAGAAATACCGACTCGGGTGGTGATTCTCAGTTGGCCCACCTGGTGGCAGTAGCAAGCCTGTAAATCCTCCTGGGCTGGGACTTTCTGGTGGAAAACAAAATGAAATCTAGAAAGCCCCTTCCTACATTAACCATCCAGGTCTCTCAGGGAGTTGTTCCATTTGATTTTAGTTATGTAAATATTTTCCTATTTGGGGTAAAGAAAAAAACGATGTGATTAGGTTCAGGTGTCACCAGACCTTTGCTTGTTTACGGGTCTGAAATGTTATTCTAGTCAGTGCCACTTAGAATAGGCCTTCATCCAGGACTGGGCCACTCCTGGACGTCATTCCCTTTTATTTATTTATTTTTATATGTTTATTTGGGGGACCACACCTACCTGTTACCCGTAGTTTACTCTAGGCTTTGTGCTTCTGGATCAGTCCTGGGGTGCCAGGGACTGAACTCAGGTTGGCCGCATGCAACGCAAGTGCCCTACCTGCTGTACTAGCTCTTCAGTATGACATTCTCCTTTAGAAAATAAGAGCTGTAAGATTTTCTTTCTTTTTCTTTTTGCTTTTTGGGTCACACCCAGCGATGCACAGCGATGCACAGGGATTACTCCTGGTTCTGCACTCAGGAGTTATTCCTGGCGGTGCTCAGGGGACCATATGGGATGCTGGGAATCGAACCTGGGTCGGCCACGTGCAAGGCAAACGCCCTACCCGCTGTGCTATCTCTCCAGCCCCGAGAGCTGAAAGATTTTCAAAGGGAAAATCAGCGCTGGAGAGAGAGCTCAGTAGGCTGGAGCACATGCTTTGCATGCAAAGGTTTCATCCCTAGTCCCTTGTGGTCCCCTGAGTACATCCCACACAGCAGTGAGCTGGAAGTTGTCCCTGAGCACCAAGCCTGTGACTCAAACCCATTCAGAAAATTGTGGTGGGAAAAGGTGTTTTTGGTTTTTGGTGTTTGTTTTTTTTTCCCCGAAACTCAAAAAAGAAAAGAAAAAACAGAGAAATTATAAATTACCAGTTGAACTCAGGGAGTTTAGTGACTTAATTCATTTTCCTGCCCAGTTTGCCTTTGGATATCACAGCCTTCTCCGTTGCCTCTCAGAAGCCTTTAAATGAACACTGGACACAGGAAGTGCACTTAGTGGACGGGCTTGTAGGACAGTGGCCAAAGCTGAGACCAGGCTGAGGCCTCCAGGACCAGGACAGGTTCATGAGAACCCGCCCACTCGAAGGGCAAAAACCCCGAAGCAAGAGAGATCAGAAAAGGAGAAGCTTGCGGGGTTTTCTTTGCCTGAAATGATGTCAATTAGGAGGAGATGGAGCTTATGTCTACTCGTTGTGAGAAAGTATTCAGGCAAGGAAATCAAAAGTCATGAGAACAGATTTAAAACTACTTAAACCTAACACTTTGTGTTGGGGGGCTTTTGTTATGAAAATGGCTGTTTTCAACATTGTATTTGGACTATGCATGTGTTTTTTTCCCCATTGTATATAAAGTATCACTTAAAATTGGTATAAATTCATTCACTCATTCATCATCCTGTTATTCATCGATTGCCTCGAGCAGGCCCCAGTAACGTCTCTTTCATCCTAGCCCTGAGATTATATTCAAGGCTCTTTAGGAGAATGAGACCCATCATTGTTACTGGTATTTGGCATATTTGGTGCGCCACGGGGAGTTTGCCAGACTCTGCCCTGTGGGCAGGCTATATGCGATAGCCTGCAAGTTTGTCCAGAGTAGGAATGAGATAATAAGATATCATAATTGGTATAAATAACTGAAGTTTTAAAAAATATATGTATAAAACTACTCAAACTTGACTGTTGTCTCAGCACCATGAGGGATGTGCACAGAGACGTGGCCTGCGACACTTCCGAGTAACCCTGCAGGTCTCTCTGGCTGCATCCCTGGGCATGGCCCCTGCTGGCCTCCACATCTCTGACTGCTTCTCCCAGCCGTGGGGCTCTGACCCTCACCCACACGCCCCCAGTGACAAGAGCTTTGTACTAAGAAGATCGCTGGTTCTATTATGTAACTTTCCCAAATGTATACCTGCCTCGGAAACGATCTTACTAATAATACTTAGTTGTCACCCTGCGCGTTCCATGGCAAATCGCATAGCTCCGAAGGCAACACGGCCAACAGTGGTGAATCATGCATGGAGCAGGTGGAAAGAAAAGTTCCTCGGGTCTAAAAATATCTAGCGACTGACATGTCACCAAATTCCCACAAGCCCAGCTCCCATGCAGTTTAGATGGTCTTTTCGTTGTGGGTCACTGGGTCTGTCCTACCCGGGACTCCTGCCACTTTCCCAGCAGGGGTGAGAAGCCGAGGCCTCTGTTGCACAGGTGAAAGGTCAGGATGCTGGTTTCCAAGGTCCCTCTTGCAACTGTGACCCATTTCCTGATGGCTGGATAACTGACCAGGAGTGTCGCAGTTGATGGGCTTCTCCCTGGCCCTCTGGCATCTCTCGTAAGGTGAGAATGGGGGTGCGAGGGGTGCTGAGAACCCCCCTTTTCTCTCTGACTTCATTTTCTGCTGCCCTCCCCTCCCAGTCTACCCCTGCTCTCCTGCCTGTTTGTTTTTCCTCTTTGGGGTGACATTCAGCAATGCTCAGGGCTCCGTGCAGTGCCTGGGTCATTGCACAGCACATGCTCTCGCCCAGAGGAGCTCGCTCTCTGCTGTTCTTCCTTCTCTTGACACCCCAACTCCCACCCACGCAAGCCCTTACTCAGGCATCTGATCCTGCCCCCGAGTCCTCCTCTGCATTCCCCCGGGGAACCACAGTGGCCTCCTGGCCCCACTGGACCTCCCTGCCCCCCACCTCTTCCTTCCTGCCCTGTAACAGACTTAGTCTTTGAAGATGGGGGTCCCCCTCCTCCAGAAGGGCTGGGCTTCTCTGCCTCTGGCCCAGTCCCTTCATTCTCCTCCTTCTCATAAAAGCTGCTTTCCACAAATTATTTATAACGAGCAATAAAAAATAAATTGTTTAGGGCCCGCCTTTGGGGCAGGCTTGGGTGGTGGTTGGGAAAATTGGAAATAATGGTTGTGGGAAAGTATAATGCTGATGGGATTGGTGTTGGAATATTGAATGTAATAAATCATCGTGGGGGGGGCTGGAGTGATACAGAGTGGGTAGGGTGTTTGCCTTGCACACGACTGACCCAGGTTCAATTCCCAGCATCCCATATGGTCCCCCAAGCACTGCCAGGAGTAATTGCTGAGTGCAGAGCCAGGAGTAACCCCCGTGCATCATGGGGTGTGACCCAAAAGAACCACAAATAAATAAATAAATAAACAAATAAATCATGAACAATGTAAAAATAAAAAAATAAATAAAGCTTATTTCCAGCTCCTGATTGGATCTGCCCAGCCTCTGCTCATGAACCTCCCTTTGCTCCTGTACCAACAGTTTCCTCTCTCGCCTCTCCTCCTGGAACTTCTCTGATGTTATTTCCTCTTCTCAACATGAAAAGACACGTGACGGCTTGCTGGTACCCCAAGATCACAAGCTGGATCACGAGCCCCAGAGATACAAACTCATGTGCTGTGTCCCCCCAAAGAGGTGGTCCGTGGCCCAGACAGGATGAGGGATGCGATGACCTTCACTCTGGGACCCAGGAGCGCCTCACCTGCCTCCGCCCAGGCTGTGTGTCCTTGGCCTCCCCCAGTCTCAGTCTCCTCACCTCTCAGATACTTGAATTGTCTTGGAGTGACCGTGGCCTGGAGGAGGGATGCTTCCCTCCCACGCCACTCTCTGTGACCCGCATTACAAACCCACTCGGGGAGGGAACATCGATGCGAAGATCTTTTCTTTTTTTTTTTTTTTTTTTTTTTTTGCTTTTTGGGTCACACCTGGCGATGCACAGGGGTTACTCCTGGCTCTGCACTCAGGAGTTACTCCTGGCAGTGCTCACGGGACCATATGGGATGCTGGGAATCGAACTCGGGTTGACCGCGTGCAAGGCAAACGCCCTACCCGCTGTGCTATCTCTCCAGACCCCGATGCGAAGATTTGACTGCTGTTTGCCGGGTCTTCAGGGGCAAAATTTAGATAAGAAAGCTTCTCAATCACACTTTTGTTCCTGCTCAGAAACTCATGACTACCCACTCAAAGGCCCCTTGTGGTCTTCCAACATTGCTGAATGGCTGGCACAGGGCCTCCCTCTGGGAAGAAGTAACAGTTTGAGATGGGGCGGACTGGGGGTGGGAGAAGGCTGGGCGTTGTGACAAGTCTTGGATTTTGCGAGGGTTCTGACGGAACTACCTTCGGCCTTGTTCTGTGGGTGAAAACAATCGGGAGCATTTTGTGGCTGGAACTTTTGAGAGGACACTGCAAGGACATTTGCAGCCAGGAGCCCAACTGTGAGGTAATGCCAGCAGGGTGTGGAATGAGATTTGGCTGGGGTGTGGTTTGGACAGGAGCAGCGGCAGATGCCTGGGCACCTGGGTGTTGAGTCCAGAGGGCATCCCTGGGCCTCTAGAACAAATGGCCTTGCCTTGCAAGTGCAAGGAGGGACAGTACTCCAGGCCCTTGGCCCATGGCCTGTGAGTGAGTGTGCACCAGGCACATTGTCAGGCATAACTACTAAAATTACAGATACTTTTTTTGGGGACATACCTCTTTACTCAGGGGTTACTGCAGGCTACTGTGACCAGGGGAAAGTTTTGTTTATTTATTTATTTATTTTGGTGGGGAGCACACTTGACAGTGCCCAGGGACTGTATCCCTGGCTGTGCTGGGCTACTGTGCAGTGCAAGGATCAAACCCAGGCATCCACATGCAGAACATGTCTCCAGTGCTCTGAGCCAGCTCCCCAGCACCCTCCCCTCCCTCCCCAGTTCCCACTCTCAGGAGATAAGAATGTACACAGAAAGTTCATTTGCTTCTAATCTCTGAAGGTAGGCACTGCTGAACAAAATGTTCTTTCTAGAACATTCTATCTTCTGGACGGTTGCATTTTATCACGGCAAAAAAAAAAGTTTTGTTTCTTTTTTTTTTTTTAAGCGGTGCTTTGAGCAAGGGTCAGAGAGTCCCAGAGACAAGGCAAACGGTGCCATGCAGTGATGACTCGGCAAGTATAAGGAGAGAACAGACCCCAGGTCCTAGTTTTACCAGCATGGAAGAAGTCAGCAGCTTCTTAGTGCTGTTGGGGGGAACTTCCATCTTATATTCAGGACAAATCAAAGAAATGCAGGGAGGATTGGACTCCACCCAGTGTGGATGACTAGGAAAACCACATAGTCTTGTCAGGAACCCAGCAGCCATCGCTGGAAGATGACTCTCTTGTCATATGTATACCCGGATGGCAGGTAGGTTGTGGAATGTATCACAGAATGGGATAAGATAATCAGAATAATGAGGGTTGCCGAACGTTTAAAGTGACGAACTGCCCTGTCACTGAATTGGTGGGAACTATCCCAGTAAATGTTTGGGAACTGTTGTCCCACCAGGCACCAAGCAAATTAGCACAACGAGCATTTCCAACGTGGCTTCCCCCCCCCCCCCCCCAACCCCCCATGCTCAGGGAGAAACAACATCCCCTTTTATTAGGAACCTGAAACGAACCCTGTGAGCCGCGTTTCATAGCTGGGATTAATAAATCACAGCTGCAGGAGTCAGCCCTTGGCAGAGCTGGCCATTCAGCTGTCGCGCTTTTGCCCGTTGCATTTCAGATTCCGGGCCTGTGCCATGCCGGGAAGTGGCCACCCGCTCTATCTCTTCCTCTGCGTCTGGTCCGCGGTGGCCCTGGGAGTCAGCGCTGAGGAGCACTGCCCGGCCAGGCAGCACGAGGACCAGTCTTATGTGGCAGCCGTGTACGAGCACCATTCCATCCTCAGCCCCGACCCCCTGGCCCTCGTCAGCCGCACGCAGGCGCTGGAGGTGATGAACCGGAACCTGGACGTCTATGAAGAGCAAGTGATGTTAGCAGCCCAGCAGGCAAGACCGGCGGCGCCCCCCCCCCCCCCCGCACCCCCCCGGCAGCCCTCGGCACTCTCGCACGCTCCATCAGGAGCCAGGCTAATGCAGAGAACTGGGCCGGCTGGAGATCTCGCCAGCCAGAGATGCCTGGGGTGCACCCCCAGGCCTGCTCAATGAGTCCCCATTTCAACCAGACACCAGGAAATTCTTTTCACCCCAGCAGTGAGAACTCCGGGTTTCATCCCTGCTTTGACTGCAAGGAATCCCTGGCCATTTGTATACAAATGTGGGTGCCCACCTCACTGCCCAGAGTTGGATGTGGCTGGAGCTAAGCATATTGGGGGGGTGGGTGGGGGAGAAGGGGTAATTCCCAGTATCAAACCCGGGGCCTCCCAGCTGCGCCACTCCTGCTCTGCTAAGTTGCCTCCCTGGACCTTTGTGAGGATTTTTTTTTTTTGGGGAGGATCTCCCTTCCCTTCCCAACCAGTGGAGTATGAGGTTCAGAGAGATTTGAAACACTGCATCCCCAGGATACCTCTGGTGTGTCCCAGAGTTTTTTATTATTATTATTATTATTATTATTATTATTATTTATTAGTGAATAGCCGTGTGGTACAGTTACGGACTTACAAACTTTCGTGCTTGCATTTCAGCCATACAATGATCGAGTACCCATCCCTCTACCAGTGCCCATTTTCCACCACCAATGGTCCCAGTATCCCTCCCACCACCCCCATCCCACCCCGCCTCTGAAGCAGGGCATTCCCTTTTGTTCTCTCTTTCCTTTTGGGTCAACACTCAGGGGTTAACTGAAGCCGCGGACACTCACACAGCTGCCCTGTGCCACTGGCTGAGGAGTCATTCTGGCCCTGGGCAGAATCTGAGTTGCCCACCGCGGCAGGGCTCACAGAAGGAACCCTGGGCAGATGAGGGGCATGCAGCCTTTGTGGGAGCCACCTGCCAAGAAAGGTGGGCAGAGATGGACGTGACAGGGCCAGAAGTCCCTGTGAGAAAAGGCCCAGGTTGGGGGGGCGCACAGCCAAGGAGGGGGAATGCGGCACTTGACCCCATGTGGGGGGCACCCTGGGAGAAGACCCTGCTTGGCCTATCCAGATGAGCAGCTCCATGCCGGCAATCAGTCGGTCCTGCCAAACCGTCCCCATGGCCCTCAGGATAGGCAGGGTCTTCAGGCCCACTCACTCTGTGGAGATCAGGAACTTCCAGAAGTTTCTTTCCATGAGCCACCGTTGACTGTCTTTGTGACAGCTCCCCCATTGTCCTGTCCTCTGAGGGCCCCCGTTTTCAGATGCTGGGTCTCTGTCACAGCCCCTAGTCTGGCTCCCCCTGGAGTGTCCCCAGACTGTGGGCCCTCGGACTCTCTCTGACACCGCAGAGCAGGGTGAAAGTCTCCGGAGAGCTGTGGGCACTGTGGCCGCTGCCTGCCTGTCATCCCCAGCCAGCCGTCACGGATCACTTCCCTGCACGTCATTCACACATTGGATACGTCTCGCAGTTCCAGCGCTGCTGAAGTCACCACCCCTGGCATGCCCTCTCACCTCGATGACAAGGGCCGCTCGGGGCCGCTGTGGGCACGGGGTGTGGGTTCACGTGGCAGCCATCACCGTCTCTGAGCGCTGCTGTGTTGAACTTCTGGCAGCACCAGGCTCAGCTACACTGAGGCAGCTAACGGCCTCAGCGGCAGTCTGACCCACGCTGCCCACAAGGACAATGCCTCCTTTCCTCCTTCTAGATGTTTCAGGTGTCTCTGCTCCCAGGTGGCTGCAGGTGTTAGAGAACTCCTGAGACATATCCATGTCAAGTGTGGGCCCAAGTGTTGTCAGATGTGAACAGAGGGTAGAGGCTCCCGAGCAAGGCAGTGCAGGTCCTGCTCTCCGGGTAGAGGCGGGAGAGGGACATAGAAGAGCCCGACTTAAAGCTATTACCCAGGTCAGTCACCCGGGCAGCTGGATCTCAGGAAGGCGCCTGGCTGCGAGCAGGAAGGCCGTCTCTTTCCGGGAGTGGGTTGGGGTAGCTTCCCGCCCATGGATCTTGACATTTTGTTTTCAGTAAAGGACAGAGCAGTGCAAACATTCTTTTCAAACAGTTGACAAAGAGAGAAATGAGGGTGTGCCAAGCCTTTTTATTTAATGCACTAAGGGGTGGTGACAGTAAGATGATAAAGCTGAGGACAGAGTGATAATACAGCACTAGGGCGCTTGCCTTGAGAGCAGCCAGCTCAGTTCAATTCCCGGCACCGCCTACAGTTCCCTGAGCTCCCCCAGGAGTGATCCCTGAGCACAAAGCCAGCAGTAGAAGTCCCGAGCGCTGCTCGGGGGTGGCTCAAAAGAAAAACAGACAAACGAAAGTAACTTAGAGAACTTGAAGACAAGAAATGCACCTGGTAGATAAACGTTGGAATGATACACAGTGTTGAAATAGATACACTCTGGTTCATATCTCTTGGGGTGAGTTTTCATTAAATTACAAGTCTAACAGTGGTAGGCCCAGAGGTAAGTCTGCGAGCCTGTTAAACAGTACCCTCAGCCAAGCAAAGGGTCCACACCCTGTATTCCCTGCTTTGCAGCAGTTTTGCTTCTTAGTAGGCCAAGTGCTTTTGTGCTGTGCCAAGGGCTCTGTATCCTGGTATAGTTTTTCAGAAGTCCTTGGCAGCGTATGCTGAGCACTTCAATTGCTCCATAGCCTTTGACTGGTATTTTCACTTGCGAGACTTTTTCCAAAGAAGTAGGGTTTCCGTTGTAAATTTGTGTCCTTCAGTGAGAAGTGTTCTCACTTCCTGTTTGCAGTTGTCACTACAGTTTTCTTTTTCTTTCTTTCTTTTCTTTTCTGTTGCTGGAGCGATAGCACAGCGGGTAGGGCATGTGCCTTGCACACGGCCGACCTGGGTTCGATTCCTCCGCCTCTCTCAGAGAGCCTGGCAAGCTACTGAGAGTATCTTGCCCGCAAGGCAAAGCCTGGCAAGCTCCCCGTGACGTATTCGATATGCCAGACACAGTAACAACAAGTCTCACAATGGAGATGTTACTGGGCCACTTGAGCAAATCGATGAACAACGGAAGGACAGTGCAGTGTACAGTGCATTTTCTTTCTCTGTTTTTAGAGAGGGGTCATAGCCGGTAGTGCTAGGATTGGGTGAGGGGGGTGGGGGGGGGACATAGCAGGCAGATACTCTGCTCTTGAGGTTTATCCTGGCCCCTCTAGTTTTTCTTTTATTACAAACAGTTGGGAGCAACTCAGATGTCCAGTAACAGAGGCTACATGGTGGTGTCCTCACAAATACACTGAGGCAGTTATGCATGATATTTGGGGTTTGGGATTTGGGGCCACGCCTTACATTGCTCAGGACTTACTCATGGTTCTAAGCTCAGGAATGTCCTCTGGCAGTGCTCAGGAGACCATAGGCGGTGCCAGGAATTAAACCAGCGTTTGGTGGCATACAAGGTGAGCACCTTAGGCCCCTGTACTATCTTTCTGACCCCAACAAATGGCTGTTTTTCAACTTTGTGTCTTGATAGACAATATAAACAGTGAGTCAGTAAAAATAGAAAACCATTTGATATAATCTGAGTAACACACATACACAGAGAAGAAAATCTTATGAAAACTGCCAAGATACTAGCTGAAAGTTCCTTCATGGTAAAGAGTTCTTATTTTAGGGCCAGGGGAGGGCTCAGGGGATGGAGCACGTGCTTTAAATGGGGAAGCCCTGTCTTCTAGCCCCCAATACCACACCCCACACAGGGAAGGGCACTGCCAGGTGGGCCCTCCCCCACCCCCACCCCCACAGTTGCAAATAAATAAACTAAGTTTCCTGGTTTCCAAAATTTCTACAGTTCGATTTTAATGCCTTTATAACCCGAAGAAAAAAAAAACGGGGGGGGGGAGGTAGGGGAAAGACTGAAGAGTATGCAGTGCATTCCAGAAATAAGTGACTCATAGCGCCTGTTATTTTTGGTTATTCATGCCTTCTCTTTTTTCCTCCTCCAACTGCTGCGCTCGGGCCAATGTTCCAAGCTTGACATTTTGAAGCCACATCAGTGGAAAGCAGCGGTGGAGAGGGGTCCTGGCGCGGAGAGCATTTGTTTGAATCTCCTGAGCTTGCCATGGACGTGGCGGGGAGGCCACCTCCTCCCAGGCCCCACGTGCTCAGAGCTGCAGGGTTGGGAGAGGGCCCGCGGGGTGCTCTGGAGTCCGCGGGGAGCCGCTCACTGGGAGACAGGGAATCGCTTGCTAGAGCCAGGCCTTGTTTCTCTGTGGAAATTGCCACCCAGGGCTTTCCTGCCCAGCTCAGGGGGCCCCAGCCTTGGCCACGGATCAGAACCCCCTGGGAGCTTCTCAGCAAACCCTGCGGGATGTGTCTCAGTGTAACAGCACATGCCTCACACAGCAGGGCCTGAGTTTCCATCCTGGCCCTGCAAAAAAGCAAAACAAAACCCAAACCAGACAAACACCACTGGCAGATCTGACCCACCATGATTTGAATCTGGCCCTATGGAGAGGTGCCCTGACCCGCGGGACTAGTCAACTAGTCAACATGGATAATCGGGAGAGGGTGCGTGAGTGGGAAAAAGAGAGACAGAAGAATGGGAACAAGACAAGACTCTCTCTGATCAAGCTCCATATTTATTTCTCCCAAGTTAGACTTTTATAACTGATTACATGAGGAAGTGGGCAAAATGGGGCATTAACAAAGCATGCAGATATTCAGTAAATCATGGTGTGAGCCCTCACGGTGGGCTCATGGCAGTTATCACGGGTGTAGCTTAGAAACTTACACAATGTATTTTAACATTTTTCCAAGAAGAGATTTCGTTCCTAAGTTGCAGGTCAGGCTGTACTGACATTTTGGCTCCCGGCAGAGAGGGTGCCTGGTATCAGCCCTAAACAAGTTTGTTTTGAGATTTTTTTTGGGGGGGGGTGGGCAGGAGTTGGGTCACACCTGGCAGTGCTCAAGGCTTACTCCTGACTTTGCACTCAGGAATCACCCTTGATGGTGTTCAGGGGACCAGATTGGGTGCCAGATGAACCCGGGTGGGCCGTGTGCTAGGCAGCCTCCCTACCTGCTATACGGTCTCTCCGGCCACACACATACGCTTTTTTTTTTTTTGTATAATGTCTTTATTGTTTAAAAAATTAAATATATTACTTATCAATTAGTATTACATGAATTATGGTTCTTTATACCTTTCTGAATATAAATTTATTTTATTTTATTTTATTTTTTTGCTTTTTGGGTCACACTCGGTGGTGCAAAGGGGTTACTCCTGGCTCATGCACTCAGGAATTGCTCCTGTCGGTGCTCAGGGTACCATATGGGATGCTGGGAATCAAACTCGGGTCGGCTGCGTGCAAGGCAAATGCCCTACCCGCTGTGCTATCGCTCCAGCCCCCCCTTTTTTTTTAGATTTTTATTAGTGAAACACCATGAGGTACAGTTGTAGATTTACAAATTTTCGTATAACTGAAACATACGCTATTCCTTTAGGCCAAGCTCTCCCATTCCTTCCTGCCCTTACATGGCCCAAGTATGGTTCATGTCTGTCTGCACGGGGCTTTTTTTGTCATCCTCTCGGAATTTGGCCCAGTGAGATGACTTCCCCAAGACCGAGATTCAGAGGAGAGTCTCGCCGCCCATGTTGCCCTGTGACCCATTCTGCAGAGCAGTCGCCCGGTGACTGCCGGATGAAGGCAGAAGAGACTGAGCATATGAGTGAAGGGGCTCCTCGCAACGTGAAATCACATTTAGACGTTGATGTTCTGCTTTACAGGCTGCACAGATCATAGTGTTTCCTGAAGATGGCATTCATGGGTTCAACTTCACGAGGACATCTATTTACCCGTTCCTGGATTTCATGCCGGACCCCCAGTTGGTTCAGTGGAGCCCATGTCTGGAGCCCCACCGGTTCAATGACACCGAGGTAAGTGAGAATGCCAGCCTTCCTCCTTAGGAGGCCGGGTCACACTCGGTGATGCAAAGGGGTTACTCCTGGCTTATGCACTCAGGAATTGCTCCTGGTGGTGCTCAGGGGACCATATGCTGGGAATCAAACCCGGGTCGGCTGTGTGCAAGGCAAATGCCCTACCCGCTGTGCTATCGCTCCAGCCTGCTGAAAGGGGCCCTGCCAGACTGGTAATGGCAGACCTAAAGGAGACCTCGGACCCTAAAAATTAAATGTAGAGTCTCCCTGACACTGTGTGCATCACTGTCGTTTAGTTAGGATGTCTGGTGGAGCCTGAGCAATAGGACAGTGGCACGGACACTTGCTTTTACATGTGGCTGACCTGGGTTTGATCTCCAACACCTCCCATGGTCCCTGGAGTCCCACCAGCAGTGACCCCTGTGCTCAGGACAGTCCTGAACACTGCTGGGTGTAGCCCACAAACAAATTTTTTAATGACGTCTGGCAATAGACGAAATGTCCTCACCTCTCTGTTATTCTGTTCGTTAATTGCATGAGAAATACATGCTTCTGTGCTTTGAAGGCAAGCAGAGCAAACAGAAGTGAAAAATAACCAAAGCACCTACCTTCACTATACCCCGCTTTGTATCCCACTTCTCCTACAGAGATTCTCCCCAGTTGGATACACATCCGGCTAGATCTCTACCCATCGTTATTGGTACCCTGTTTATTAGCATGCTCTGTGCGTATTCTTAAACTCTTGCTGTTATGAGCAGTGCTGTAGTGAATAGTATTGTGTATCAATCTGTGTACGTACATTCAAGTTTTTCTGGCATGGAAAATTACTTGAAATGGAATTTCTCAAGGCTAGAGAATAAGACGTACTGGGAATAAGATGCTTGCTTTGCACATAGCTGACTTCAGTTCACTCCCTGACACCATATATGGTCCCCCGAGCACCACTAGGAGTATTGCTGAGCATGGATCCAGGAATAAATCCTGGAAGCAGTCAGGTGTGATCCCCAAATAAAAAAAATAATTACCAAAAATGTTTTTGGTAATTTTTTTAAAAATTATTTTTAAGTACAAAATTTCCTCTTTAAAAAGTCAAGTGCCTGTTTTACCCCTCTTTGGTCTATGCAATATAGAATAACTTTTGGAGGGGCCAGAGAGATAGGATAGCAGGTAGAGCATTTGCCTTGCCTGGGGTCAACCTGGGGTTAATCTCTAGTACCACACACATGGTGACTTGAGCACAGAGCCAGGAGTAAGTCCTGAGTGTTGCCGGGTGTGACCCCCCAAACACACACACACACACACACACACACACACACACACCAAAAAAAAACAAATGACTTTTGGAAATTTTGTCAGTTTTATGAATGCAAAAAAAGTATCATCATTTTAATTTGCATTTTCTAATACTCATGGGTGAGATCTTAGATGTTTATTGGCCTGTTATAGTAGTTATCCTTCTATGAATCACTTATTCCTGTCCATTGCACATTTTCAGTAAACGGTCACTTTTTTCTTCTCTTGGAGATGGGAAGCACACTCAGTGGTCCCCGGGGGACTGCACAGTGCGGAGGCTCAAATCCAGAGTTCTGGCCTGTGCTTCAGCAGCCCTTGGAGGTCTCTTTCTCCAGCCAGTTGCTTTTTTTTTTTCTTACTAGATTCAGGGGCTGGAGCGGTAGTACAGTGGGTAGGGTGGCCGGTCCGGGTTCAATTCCTCCACCCCTCTCAGAGAGCCTGGCGAGCTACCAAGAGTATCTGGCCTGCACGGCAAAGCCTGGCAAGCTCCCCATGACGTATTCGATATGCCAAACACAGTAACAAGTCTCATGATGGAGACGTTACTGGTGCCTGCTCGAGCAAATCGATGAACAACGGGAGGATAGTGCTAGTGCTACAGTGCTACTAGATTCAGAGTACTGCTTGTTTTTTTTTATTTATTTTTTTATTTTTTGGGTCACACCCAAATGCACAGGGGTTACTCCTGGCACTGCACTTAGGAATTACTCCTGGCGGTGCTCAGGGGACCATATGGGATGCTGGGGATTGAACCCGGCTTGGCTGTGTGCAAGGCAAACACCCTCCCCTCTGTGCTATCGCTCCAGCCCCCGAACTGCTTATGTATTAGCTGTAACATCGGGATTCTCTTCTGTTTTAACACAGGGATGCTGTTCTGTTTTGAAAATTATAAGACAATTGGGACTGGCACTATTATACAGAGGGTAGGACATTTGCTTTGCACGAGGCCAACCCCGGTACAGTTCCCAGCATCCCATATGGTCCTCTGAGCATGCCAGGAGTAATTCCTGAATTCAGAGCCAGGAGTAACCCCTGAGCATTGCTGGGTGTGACTGAAAAAGCAAAATAATTAAATAATAAAATCACTTAATCACTTAATCACTTAATCCCCGTTATTCATCGATTTATTCGAGCGGGTGCCAGTAACGTCTCCATTCATCCCGGTTGCGTGCTAGCGTAGCCCAATGGTATCTGTTCGTTTTAGGAACATGTAGAGCCTCAAACCGATCATTTAGGGTCTTGACGAAGAAGTATTATTAAAAATAAAATCATTCTTTTAAATTTTTATTTATTTATTTATTTTGCTTTTTTGATCACACCCGGCGATGCTTAGGGGTTACTCCTGGCTCTGCACTCAGGAGTTACTCCTAGCAGTACTCAGGGGACCATATGGGATGCTGGGAATCGAACCTGGGTCAGCCACGTGCAAGGCAAACACCCTACCCGCTGTGCTATCTCTCCAGCCCTTAAATTTTTTTGAATAATTAAACTATAAGGCAAAAGGCGGGGTTCAAAAAAAGTTAGTTTTATTGTTTGTTTTTTTTTCGTTTGTTTGTTTTTTTGTTTTGTTTTTCCCTTTAGGTCCTTCAGCGTCTTAGTTGTATGGCCATCAAAGGGGATATGTTCCTGGTGGCCAATCTTGGGACCAAGCAGCCTTGTCACAGCAGTGACCCCGGCTGTCCCAGCGACGGAAGGTACCAGTTCAACACCAACGTGGTGTTCAGCAGCAATGGCAGCCTGGTGGCCCGCTACCGCAAACACAACCTCTATTTTGAGGCGGCCTTTGATAGCCCAGCCCAGGCGGACCACACTGTCTTTGACACGCCCTTTGCCGGCAGGTTCGGCATCTTCACTTGCTTCGACATCCTGTTTCTGGAGCCAGCCGTCAGGCTGCTGGTGCAGGACGCGGCCGTGCGGCACGTCGTGTACCCCACGGCCTGGATGAACCAGCTCCCACTCCTAGCCGCCATCCAGATCCAGAGTGCCTTCGCCGTGGCCTTCGGCATCAACCTGCTGGCCGCCAACATCCACCACCCGACCCTGGGCATGACGGGCAGCGGCATCCACACGCCCCTCAAGTCCTTTTGGCACCACGACACGGAGGGCTCCCACGGTCGGCTACTTGTGGCCCCGATCGCCAGGAACCCCCCGGGGCTCCCAGGAATCAAGAATGACCCTGGGGAAGGGGACCCAGCGCATAGGAAGTTTTTGAAGGTCTTGGCCGGCGGTCCTCCCTGTGACCAGGCTGTTCGGGAGGACTCCTGCGACCCCAGCTGGCAGGCCAAGGCTCCCCTCGTGTTTCATGCCGAGATGATGTACGACAACTTCACGCTGGTCCCAGTGTGGGGCATGGAAGGCTCCGTCCAGGTCTGCGCCGGCAGCCTCTGCTGTTACTTGCGGTACCAGAGGCCCACGCTGACCCAAGAGCTGTACGCTCTGGGGGTCTTTGAGGGGCTGCACACGGTGCACGGCACTTACTACCTGCAGGTCTGCGCCCTGGTCAAGTGTGGGGGGCTCGGCTTTGACAGCTGCGGGCAGGAGGTCACGGAGGCAGAGGGGCTGTTTGAGTTTTACTTGTGGGGGAACTTCAGTTCTTCCTATATCTTCCCCCTGTTTCTCACGTCCGGGATGACCCTGGAAAGGCCTGACCAGCTCGGTTGGGAGGAGGAGCACTACTTCCTGAGGAAGAAGAGCCTGACCTCCGGCCTGGTGACGGCAGCTCTCTACGGGCGGTTATATGAAAGGGACTAGGGACAGGGTAGGTGCCCAGACACCCACCCGCCCAGGAGCCTGTCCTGGGAGCTGTGGGGAGAAGCAGCGGATGAGGACCCTCCCCCCACACACACATATACCACCCCCAGCATCTCACCAAAATACGCGCTTGCTAAATTTTCCACTCATATCAGTTTTTTTTCAAACCACATCTTCCTCTAGAAAAAATTTTTTAGGAGATGGTTGATTTTAAGAAATAAAAATAAATCGGCTTCTATTTTACACATTCATAAAAGCTCTGGTTTTTGGTGTTCGTGTGTGTATGTGCGTGTGTGTGCATGCAGATGTGTGTCTTTTCCTTACTCTTGCTCAGTTGAAACCCAGAACATAGACCTATTTTCTAAGCCTCAAGCATTTTTGAAGGTAAGAAACAAACTCTTAAAAAACAAAAGCTGTGTTCCACGCGCTTGGTGTGGGGTGGACTGCTTTTCATTCTTGTCGGCCAGAATTCTATTCAGATGAAATAGTAATGCCAGAGCCACCCACAGCAGCAGAATGTGGGTCTTGAGGCAGCTTTTTAAAAATAGAAGGGAAGTCTGCACGTCTGCCTGTCAGTAAATGATGAAGCATTTCAGGCAAGGCTGAGAAACTGGAAGGAGCCGAGTGGAGAGAGGGAGGGGGAGGGGCTAAGAAGGAAAGTGCTAGAGAAGGGCAGCAGGGGACAGTGTGGTAATAGGATTCTTTCTGAACAACATGTTTATCCAGGAATTCCGGGGACCTTTGTAAGTCACACCAGCCTTGGCAAGAAACGTCCAGTTGTCCCGTGCAGCACAGTTTAATCCCAGAAGCCTCAGAGGGACACTGAGCTTCAGGAAGCGAAGGCACCATGATGGCCCCCAGGGTGACCCCCTTGACGGGGTGGACCACTACCACAAATACAACCTCTATTGTGAGACTGCTCAGCAGGTTTTCTGGGGGCCGGGGTAGGCCTCAACAGGTGTTGGGCATTTCCTCCTTTGATATAGTCCTGATTCTTTATATTTGGTTGTTACATGTTATATTCTTTATATTAGGTTATTGATTTGTATTATTTGTATCCAACATTTTAGAGTCAACAAGTGTCAATACTTAATAATTGTTTCAGAACTTTGGGGTTTTTTTTGGGGGGAAAGGGCACATCCAGTCGTGCTCAGGGCTTACCCTTGGCTCTGTGCTCAGGGATTACTCTTTGGCAGGGCTGAGAGGACCATATATAGTGCCTGGGATTGAATCTGGGTCAGCCATGTGCAAGGCAAGTGCTCTACCTTGCTCTACCATGACTCTGGCTCCCAAACCAGGGTTTTAAAAGCAGTATGTATATGTAGCTTAACTATATTTATAGCACAGCGGGTAGGGCATTTGCCTTGCATGTGACCGACCCGGTCGACATGAGTTTGATTCCTCCGCCCCTCTTGGAGAGCCCAGCAAGCTACCGAGAGTATCTCACCCTCATGGCAAAGCCTGGCAAGCTCCCCATGAGGTATTCGATATGCCAAACACAGTAACAACAAGTCTCACAATGTTACTGGGCCCGCTCGAGCAAATCAGTGAACAACGGGAGGACAGTGACAGTGGCAGTGATGTATATGTAGATGATACTATGAGGTGAAAAAGGAAATTCCTTCTCCACACCCTGCAGCCTCGCCTTTCAGACTCTCTGGGGTAGGAGAATGGAGCCCCACTGACCGACTTTGCTCCCCCGGCCTTGCAGCTTACTCATTGCCCCATGGGCCTCGCCATTTAAGTTTTGTGCCTGTTTCCTCCTTCTCACTTGGGTGTGTTTTGAACAATTCTGAGGTCCCTGCTGACTCAGTGCTCACTAGAAAAGGCCTGGTATGAGTCAGTCCTTGGGGAAAAGACAGGAACAGCTCTGGGTTCCTGCGGAAGCCCTGGGGAGTCCCCCTGGAATGCAGGCAGACCTCTCCCACCAGATGACACAGCTCTCACCAGCCCTCCCAGGCGCAGATCCATGGTCAGAGCCAGCCAAGTCACAGGCGGCTCCGGATGTGGCTGCCCTCCGCCCACCCTGCGTGCCTGCCCCAAACCCCAGGGAAATAGAAATTATCTTAGAAATGCACATTGCTGCTCCATGCCAAGATGGTTTGAATCAGCCCAGAAAGACAGGGCGGCCCGTCCTAAATTTAGACCTGAAGGAACTGCCTCGACTAGCACACAATTCTAAAGCTCCTGCTGGAACTTTCCCAGAGTTACTGCTGGCTGGCAATATAAAACTAACTGCTTGACCACAACACCCAAAAGGAGAGAGAGAACAAAAGGGAATGCCCTGCCACAGAGGCCGGGTGGGATGGGGGGCATGGGGGTAGGAGGGATACTGGGATCCGTGGTGGTGGAAAATGGGCACTGGTGGAGGGATGGGTATGTGATCATTGTATAATCGAAACCCAAGCACAAAAATTTGTAAGTCTACAACTGTACCTCATGGTGTTTCACTAATAAAAATTTTAAAAAAAACTAACTGCTTATGAAGTAGGGACAAGAAGCAAAACCCAAAAGACGTTTTGCTTTGTTTTTAACCACAAAGGTGGTAAAAAAAAAAATAAAGAAAGAACCAAGTTGGAGGATGTGAAAATGAGAGAAACAGTTTTGAGATGGAAAAAGACAATTCTAAGGGCTGGGGTCTGGTTTTTGTCAACAGTGACTCTGACTGACACTCAGTGGCAATCTGGATGGTGACCCAGAGGCAGGAAGTCCCCAGGCTTGTTGATGACTCAGACCCTTGGGACCTTGCAGAGTCTGGTCACCAGGCGCCTTCTCACGGTCCGGGCAGCTGTGGGGTCTGTGGTAACCCTCGCAAAGGAAAGGAGAGGCACAAGGAGCCACATTCATGCTGCAGTTAAGATACCCTATTTCTAAGGAAGGGTGCCAAGCCCTCACTCTGCGTCAACCCCTCAGTCTGCTCCAAACCCTCAGTGTCCCCAGCATCTTCTGCTGTGGTACCCAGAGCGGCAGGAAACCCACAAGCCCCGCCCCTGAAGCAGCTCATTGGATCAGGACAGACACCTGACCGAGATCAGCCAATCAAAGGGTAGAAGTGGCCCTGTCCAAAGACGAGGGAGATCTGCGCTCCTCCGTTCCCAGGGAAATTAATAACTATTCCACCATCATCACCAGCAAGGCGGGCTTCTATATGACAACTGTTTTTTTTTAATTGCGAACGTGCTCTTTTCCCCATTTTCTCTGTACCGTCACCCACCTCGACGCCTCACCCTGTCCTGAGGGTCTGGTCACATGCTGGTGGTGCAAATGGTTGGCTTTCCCAAGTGTATCACGTGTGGGCCAGCCAGGCCGTACTTCCCGGGGAGAACGACCCAATGGGGTGTGCAGGTGCTGCAGTGCGTGGGGGGCTCACCCTCAGGAGCTGCTGGTGGGGCTTCCAAACAGCGCTCTTCTGTCACTGATAGCCATATGGCCAGGTGGTAGCTAGAAAGGGGCTAGTGGTGGCCCCATAAGTGGTTCTTTGCTTCTCTTAGCCACCAGGAGGAATGCAGAGATCTCACCCTGCCCCCGTCTCTGCATGGCTTGGGTGGCCTGTCAGATTCTGTTTCCTGGGCTTGTTCTCCCCAGACCCTCAATGCAGGGGTTCCAGGCTGTCCGCTGCTGGACTCCAGGGTTAGAAACCATGTTAGAAACCATCTTGGGGCTGGAGCTATAGCACCAGTGGGTAGGGTGTCCAACCCATGTTCCGATTCCCAGCATTCCATATGCCCCCCCCTCCCCCCGGCCGAGCACTGCCAGGAGTTAATTCCTGAGTGCACGAGCCAGAAGTAACACCTGTGCATTGCCAGGTGTGATGCAGAAAGAAAGAAAGAAAGAAAGAAAGAAAGAAAGAAAGAAAGAAAGAAAGAAAGAAAGAAAGAAAGAAAGAAAGAAAGAAAGAAAGGGAAAGAGAGAGGAAGGAAGGAAGGAAGGAAGGAAGGAAGGAAGGAAGGAAGGAAGGAAGGAAGGAAGGAAGGAAAACCATGTTCTCTTCTCATGGTGTGCTGTAGAAGGGTTCTGCTGAAAAGAGCCTCTCCCAAACCCACATCAGTCCTCCCACCAGTACACAGGGGTTCCCCAAAGGCTGGAGCCCCAGACCTGCAGGCCCTGAACCTGTTAGGAATGCAAAGCCTTGGGCTGTACCCCCAGAGTTGCTGAATCAGAGACTCAAGGACAGGAACCCATGCACCCTCCCAGTGATTCTGGTCCCAGCCACGAGTGAGGCCACGAGGCTAAAGTGCCCACAGCCAGTGGTTCGGGCTGGATCATCAGCAACTCTGTTCTTAAAAAGAGGCAGGTTTCACAGACCAGGCAACTGAGGGTTGGAAGGCAACTGCCTTGCCCAGAGCTAGACACACTCCAGCAAGTTACAGCTTGAGGGCTGGAGTAATAGCGCAGCCAGTAGGGTGCTTGACTTGGCCGAAGCTGACCCAGATTTGATCCCACATTGTCTTCTTAGCCCTACCAGGAGAGATCCCTGAGCTTACTCCTGCAAAGCCAGGAGCTCTGCTGAGTGTCCTCCCTAGCCCCAAAACAGCCTGAAATTTCCACGTCAGGAGTATCGCCTATCAACCCAGAGATCACCACCTCGACAGCTAGTATTCACTTTGCTCACTTTGTTTGAACAGAGACAAATTAGAGGGAAAATATGATTTATAGTTAAGAAGTGCCTTTCATTAGATTGTATCATTTGTCAAGTTTGTAGGAATTATAGAAATCTTGTTAAACTATGTTTGTAATTACTTTTTTTCCTTAATTTTTTTCTTTTTTTTTTTTTTTTTTTGTGAGGAGAAGAGCATACCTGGTGATGCTCAGGGTTTATTCCTGGCTCTGCACTCAAGAATCACTCCTGGCAGTGCTTGGGGAACAATTGGAATGCTGAAGATCAAAATTGGGTCAGCCACATGCAAGGTAAATGCCTTACCTACTGTACTATTGGCCCCTGTAATTATTTCAGTAATAATCTCTTTATTCATTTTTTATGTGAGTAGACAAACTGCAGTGCCTTTGGAATTTTTCATTCTGCTGCTTCAACACTTTTTGGAATAAAATATATAGGATGATTTCTTATCATTCTGCTTACTGGACATGACTCTACTGAAGCATTTGTGTAAGCTGGTTCATTCATCAGCACTACAGTTTGTGTTGCCACATCTAATTAGCCACGGGTGGTATCAAGCCAACATTAAAGTGTTTGAAAGTTTTGATATATTATCACCAGATGGGATAGAACAAAATTCTAGATG